TCCTTGCTGTACAGTAGATGCAACAGGTGTGGCTGGCGTCGGAGCAACCATTGGATGGATAACTGCAATCCTCATCTGAGAAATCATGAAGGAACAGGATGAATATGTGTACTTTGCCAAATGAAGGAGGAAAGTACAATTGACAGCACTTTCACTGGCTAAACAGGATGAGTTTCGCTGTGTCTCGCTGTATCACGGACCCGGAAACCTGTAAACTGGTTAAGCAACATATTAAGTGATAACTTAATACCTCAGAAATGTTAGATATGTGAGTTCATTGTCTCTTCGTGTTGCCATTCCCTGCTTGAAGTCTGTGTCTTGGCAGGCTTTCACTTACAAGGAAGGGAAACATAATTTAACTTCAAAGTTTGACTTCAAATGTAATAGATTATGTGCAATGTGTGTCTTCTTTGCTGTCAACAACTCTGATACTTATTGCAACTGCAGCTGTAAACGGATGATAAACAAGGTCAACTGAAAGGATGCTCAGTAGTTTACTGTGAGGGCACATCAAAGTCTGGAGATTATCAGCTGTGTTTTCATGACTATGAGAAACACCTTTAATTGTACACAATAATTTGATCCAGCTTTGGGCAGCAGGCTTTTCAACTAGAGTTCAAAATAATTGCAGTTAGCGTGCAGTAGATCTGTTTCTTTTGAAGGAGGAGTCAGAAGTAAACTGGTTAAGCAACATATTAAGTGATGACTTAATACCTCAGAAATGTTAGATATGTGAGTTAATTGTCTCTTCGTGTTGCCATTCCCTGCTTGAAGTCTGTCTACTAAAGGGTGACGTTCTTTTTTTCTTAGTTTGATTTTTTTAGTTTTCTTTGTAGGTCCAGATCGTGCAGCCAAAGGGCCCGACAGGGATCCTGTGCCAAGTGCCAACATGAGGTTGACAGTTTAGTTTTTTCAGTGAAATGTCTTGATTACTATTTTATGAATGGAAGATGAAATCTGCTACACGACAGTCCTAACAGCCAGAGCTATACTTAATGCTAATTAGTCAAAGTGAAAAAAGGCAAATAATATATCTGCCAAACATCAGCACACAGCATTTTCATTGTTAGTATGCTGTCGTCCAGCTCAAAGCACCACGTTCACTCTTAGTCTTTTACATAAACTCCAGTAAAATAATTGAAATTGTGTGAATGAAACGGTAAATAAAAAAAAGATTTGCTTTATTTTTCATGCATTTTATTTGGGTTTAGAATTGGCCGCATAATAAGATAAAAGTATTCACAGAGCACAGAAGCATCATGTTAATGCCTTCAGATTCAGTTATAGTGTAAAAACAAAGATTAATTAGAGCTAATTCACATCCTGCAAATGAAACTATTTAGGCATCATCGTCCACATTATAAAACACACTTTTGACTTATACAAATAATAAATTACAAGATGAAAATTGGATATGTTAGACTTTTAATGATCATAACAATATAATTGCTTCTGGATTGATGCTCAAATATTTAAGCCATGGCATACACAGTTTAATGTGCATGTTTAAAGGCTCATCAGTTCTTATCAAGTCATTCTGTGTGAGTATCACTTTAAATCTCATCTAGTTTTTACTTCGTACATTCTATTTTTAATTACAAAAAATAATAATGATAGTTACTTTAGCAAAGGTATTGATTAAGCCCGATGTTGATTTAGATATTCATCTTGTGTTTCAGTAGTAACTGCAGCTTTAGTTGGCGGTGGAGCAGGTACGACTTTTTCATCTGATTGTAAACACACTTTAGATTAGACACTCTTTATTGAGCCCAATTTGGGAATGTTTACTATTTCTGACTCAATATTCATTTTGGAGTGGCCAAACAAATTGGCATTAGCAACGTTTCCTCTGCAGCTGGAGCTGTCGTCGCTGACCACATGATCACACACTACATTTAAAAGAAGCTAAAATAAAATCGGAGCAAACTGAAATAGTTAGGCATGCTGCCAGAATGTTCTTTTGGCTTTCAATAAAGAATACTCATTCTCAAACTAATTCATTGTTTTTCAAAGCAGCAGGTGGACATCTGATCTGTTGATATAGGCCCGTACTAAGTTGGACTCTATACGCCTACTGCCTGAATTTTCTTTATGGTTTATGTGTCTGAAAAACGATGGTTGTTAACAAGTGGCTGAATAGGACTACAGAAGTTGTCGAGGACGTTGTACGTCATTACGCCGAAAATGTAAACACTCCCGTTAAATTTGTTTGCCCCTGTTCTGCTTGAAAGCAAGTATCTGCGCTCTTGCAAACTGTTAAAACAAACGCTTCAACTTGTACAATTTTGAATCTGTATTTTTGAATATCGATCTTAAGCCAGGAAGCCAGACCGTCTCATTCCGTAGACCGCTCGATTTGCTGTTCCTTCACTTTATTTTTATATTTATTTTATATACATTTATTTTGGACGAAAACTTAGCATGAGGAAAGGCATGTGTGGCGTGAGTGCGTGAGATATGTGTTAATTGCGTGACTCTCACGCTCAATGCGTGAGGGTTGGCAGCCCTGAGAAATCCAATTGCTTTTTTGTCGAGGGAACCCATGCGCAGCTTACTTCCGGGTAATTACGTCATCCCTGCACACCTCTATTGTCGTTCATAATAAAAATCAGGCGATGGTCACATAAAGAATGGTGTATTTGGTGTGCCTCGACTTAAATATAAAATGTAATTAGATTCCCTTTTTGATTGCATTAAACTCTTGGTATGTAAATAAACAGTGAAGACATTTTTATCCCAAAAGCAGGCAGACCTAAACTGGGTTAGAAATCCTCAACAGTGCCTTTCTTTTGTTTTCCTCCTGGTGCTTTACAGTCAGAATAAATTGTATATTGTATATGTATGTGTGACGCCCTCTGCTGTACAAGGCTTAGGTTTCAAGAAGAGAAACCTAAGCCTTATACACAGACCTGGCGCCAGAACAAATCTACAGAGAGGGCATATGATCTTCATGGGAGGGCAGTCACACGTAGACAAAGGTTTGTCTTAATGCAAATTGTAATACATTAAACGAGTCAGCAGGAATAGGTTATATGGCAGTATTGCAGCAGACCCTGTCCTGTGTGGAAAACCCCATAATGACACCACTATAAATCTGTTGCAATACTGGAATACCTCCTGGTTTTAATGAGTTATGTTCCTATAATGTGAGAGATGTAACTCAGGTTTTCACCATGGTCCTTCAAGGGTTTAAACTGCAGGGGGCTTGCCTCAATAGAGACATTTAAGAGGATCTCTAAAATATCCACATTTTTGGTGCCACTTAAAAAGGTGTAATTGTTTTGTTCACTGTAACACCAACATGTGCAGATGTGTTAACAAAGTAACAAACACCATCAAACATTGGAAAAGTGAATATTTTTCAATTGAGTTGTCAGCCAGTTGTCCCTGACTAGATTGTTTCTGAAGTGAAATGTATGCTTTTGAATTACTCCAACAGACATTACCCCTTTCCTCACATTATCACAGTCCTCAGGCCATAAGACTCTAAGAGCTCATTAAGTGCCTCCATAACCGTTTATCTGTTTGCATCTGGCTATTTATTTATGTATATATCATATTCCATTTACATGTATATAGACTATTCTTGCACATTTTGCAAAATTCTCTTGCACTATTTTATTTCTATTCTGTTATTTCTTTCAGTATTTGTATTGGTTTTATTTGTTTTATGTCCTATATATATTATGTTGCATTGTTGAAGGAGCCTGGGACATGCGTTTTTCATAACCATAATTACACTGTAGCTAATGTGCACATGACAATAAAGCTTTGAATCTTTGAAAAGTCATGACCATCAACACTAACACTGGCTGTCACTACACACCGTACCATACCCATGTTACATTCATATTCATACTGTTATATCTATCTATTCTTATGCATATGTGTTAGGAAAATATCACTCGTCACCGGCTTGAGCTTCAATATCAGGATCCATGTATTTATTATCCTCTCAAGAATGGAAGTAGTCATCACAAACAGAGCATTTGGTACAACTAGTTCCCGAATAGTGTCCATCACATGCCTATATACAAGAGAGGGAGTTACAAAGTCACAAGATACAGGAGTTCAAAGCAGTATTCAATGCTTAGTTCAGATTAGCTAAGGCCCACGTAAGCAATAAACATGACAGTCATATGTCTATCTCCATAGAGGCTGAATCATCATGTTAATCACATAGCTATCATATGCTAAAACCTATAGTTATGCCAGATTTAGAAAGAAGAAGAGAAGAAGAATATACCCTTAATTGTCCCACAGAGGGGAAATGTACATTCTGCATTTGACCCCTCATAGTGTTAGGAGCAGTGGGCTGCCATTATGCAGAAGAAGATAAAGACTGTATTTCTTATTTCTGTTTCCCACTGACTGAATAAAATACCTTTTAAAAACTTTTAAATGGTATTTGAAACCATTAAAGCGGTCTAAATTAGCCAGAATGTGTTGTACATTCAAATATCTAATAGTAAATACAAGTATATCTTAATCAACCCATGAATGAATAAGTTGATTGACAGTAAATGTCAAATATTTTAAATGTAAAGATGGAAAAGAATCATGGTTCAAGCTTTCGAATGTAAGGCTTTGCTGCTTTTCCTTTTAATTATATAAAATGTGTAATATAATAATGTTGACAAAGCAGTAGGAAGATTTGACTCTGGGTCCTTTTGACAGCATTTCTCACATTTTTAAAAAGTGTAATAAATCAAAATATTAATTGATGAAACAAAGAATATTTAGCAGATGTATAAAAAAGAAAGTAGGTGCAATTACCTCCATAATGTGGTTTGAATTATAACAATGAACAACCTATTAATACTTGAAATACATTTTCCTGATAATACATTACCTAAACTTATGTTTAAGAAATGTATGTAAGACTTTCCGTTGTAATTTCTCGTGTGGTAAAGGATCTGAATACTTCCTCCATCCAACAAAATAATATTACATTAATGAAAATGATAATAATAATAACTACAATAACACAGTATAAAAAGAAAGTTTGATCACATACGTTTTATTAAAAGATCCCAAAGACTGAACTGAATCCAGTAAAAATGTAAAACAAATTAAGAAAGAATCAGGCAAGAACAGATTAATTCAAATTGTATATGTGTGCAAGAATAAATGTGTAAAATAAACATTTCACATACATTTTTCCCCAAAAATTGTTTGTAGTCAATAGGAATAAAAGAAACCCTCCTCACCTAATGGTAAAGTTTCACCATAACTAGTGACTCTGCGGATAATCAGGTTAATGTGAGCATACACATCCAGAGACGGATCTGATCTTCATGTCGAAGGTTTTCAGGGAGTACTTCGTGCCCTTCCATGTTCTCCAGATAACCCCAACATAGGGATATACAGTGGTGGTCCCGCGAGGTGCGTACAAGCCGGTGGGGTTGGCATGGATTAGGGTTATGCATTTGGAGTACCAGAATCCACCGATAGAATTCTGAGCGCAGTTTACAGTGTAAATATCCTGGTCTCTGTCAAACGTGGTGAACTTCATGTTGTTGTGGTTTGTCAAACTGTCCCCTAGAAATAAAAACAAACAAACTTGAAACCCAGAAACACTTATTTCAATGCCAATGTGTGTCAGTGGGTAATATATTTTATTTTATGTTTTTATAAATGACTTAAAGAACAATAGGTACAGCACATGTATGCCTCTTAAATAGTGATAGAATATAACCGGGCACATTTGTATTTAAGTAGAATATTAAGGTATTTCTATTTTATGTAATTTAATAAAAGTTTTCTAATATTACATTTCTCACACGTCCAAATTGCAACACTTAAGTCCCAAGAAATACCCACCAAGTGTCACCAGACCAACCTTTCCTCACGCTATTTTTCATTACATTTTTAACAAATACTGTAGAGAGGACATATTATGCTAGTTTTCAGGTTCATATTTGTATTTTGTGTCTCTTATATGACTATGACATGCTTTAATGTTCAAAAAGCTCTTTATTTTCCTCAAACTGCCTGTGCTGCAGCACCTCTTTTCACCCTCTGTCTGAAACCAGAGCCCAGTCTGCTCTGATTGGTTAGCTGGCCAGCACAGATTGTGATTTGTCAACCGCTTAGAGATACCCCGCTCCTTAGCCTATCGCGTAAGATGCTAGACAATACAAGCAAGAGTGTTACGTAGTGATGTCACTATGTTACGGAAGTAAACAAAGGAGTCCAATGGAGGCGTTTAAGACATGGGGGGAGTGTGGGAGAGAAACTCCCTCTGGAGGGAGCTTTGGGAATATAGCCCAGACCATTTATGCCGCGTTTCCACTACACAGCCTCGCTCGGCCCCGCTCGGCCTCCTTTGGCCGCGCCCGGCCTCGTTAGGACCAGCTCACTTTGTGGCGCGTTTCCATTACAGTTTAGGAACCAGGTCAGTATCTATAGTAACAGTGTAGGCGGAGCGACGCTGCTTAAAACTGCCGTGACGTCATCTTCAATGCGACACAACAATGGAGATGTGAAAGCGATCGTTTGCTTGTTTTTTGCTGTGTGGTTTATTATCACAAGAAATAGACAAGAGTTGTTTCGAAAGAGGCGACGTATAGCAAGACGAGGTATAGAAGAAGCTGACGCGAGAGTTCGGGCAGTCCTCCTACGCCGCAGAGACTACAGGACGACTCGAATCACTACTAACTACAATGCTACTTGGTAAGCTAACGTTCGCTAACTAGCAATGTGTTTAGGCTCACTCTCCCTATACGACCAAAGTATTTCAAGTATTTAATTAATTGTAGCTACCACTTTTACGTATTAAAATATGTATGCTTTTGTTTGTGTATTTCAGAAGTTACCGACCGAGCTACCGAGTGGTGGAATGTGATTGTTCCATCTTTCACACACTCAGTGGGTGGAGAACTTCAGGATGCCTGAGGAAAACCTACGTGTAATACCTAAATATTCATTGTATTGTATTGAACATAAATACATCTTTTCTTTTTCACATACATGTGTTTGTCAAATTATTTAAACCAAAAAAATGTTATCAGAATTGACTATTTAGTAAATATTTGAATTTCAAGCACCAGTACTGCCCCCATAATAATAATCTAATAAATTAAGCAAATATCAAAGCAAACTATAAACATAAATACAAAAGTGTAAAACACAACAGAACTATATTCATAAATGCAAGTGTAAAAAATTGTTAACATGGATGGAGGCTAAAGTATCCACAGCATAAAATAATATGATTATGATGGTTTGTCTGAAAGACACAGCCTCAAGGTTCAAGGTTTTTTATTTTGTCATACGAACATAGCTAGTGTAGTTATGACAATGAACATCTTAGGTCACAGGCTCCTCCAACAGTGCAACACAATAACCCAGATCAACAGAAATATAGTGCAAGTAAATATTAAGCGCTGTGCACCGCTCTCTTTGTATAGGTGTTTTCTTTTGTTCTCTTCTCTTTGAAATATATAAGCAATGTGTTTGAGTCTAGCACAACGAGGGTATTACAATTGAGTAATTTTTCTACATGTATTTATCATGTATTCTTAATACCATTATGTAATGTTATGTTTTAGAGGAGGACCTCAAGCTAGCAAACTCAATTTCAAACAGTATGCAGAGTTGTCCTGCTAAAGAGTTAAAATGTATTATTTAACCAAGTATTTATTCTCTTATTTGCTTTAATTGCAACAGATGATAAAGGTTTCACTGTGATAAGTATTCTCTTAAATCCATAAACCCCTGTACAGTGCTTTGTGGACGATGGTGTTTATGATATTTCTGACTGCAGAGGGACGCCTAGATGATGCCATCTTTCTGTGCGATCGCTGGTGGGTGCAATTATTTATCAACAAGCAATAAGATAAGACATGGCATTGATTCTGCTGGGCCAGTTGCCGTTCCTGCAGGGCCAGATCGTCTCCTCCTCGGTTTGTGCTGTTGATGCAGAGGACGTTGTTCGGAACTGTTCCTCCTCGCTAGTCCCAATGTAATCATCTAGAACAGAAACATGACTTGTAAATTCCACAAACTACTGCAGCACAATACTATAAATAGCAACAACAACTATAGAAAAGACAAACTGAACGTAAACAATGGCACATATGGTGTTAGCAAACAATAGCTCTCGCTAATGCTATCTGCCTAGCTAGCCTTCGGGGCTCCATCGGGGTTGTCGAACATAAATGTAAGGATAAAATAAACTTATTTGTTAGAAGTGAGCTTTAAAACAGATAGGGACACAAAGCAGGGACACAAAGCAGGGACACAAAGCTTTCAAGCAAATAACACAGCGTTAGCAAAAACGTACCATGCAGACTCCAGTAACGCCGTTGGAGAGTCCAGTGTCTGTGTAGAGACCTCCTGAAAGACTTTGATATTGCGAGTTGTCCCGTCGAGCACCCGCTGGACCTTATCATCTGCAATATAATGGACGTCGTCACTTCCTCGACCGACCATGGTGTGCTTTTCTTTGCCATTGTTGTAGCTCCTCCGTTAACAAAAATGCTGTTTGTAAAAATGGATTATCTCGCGCGCAGATTGTGACGATTCTCTCCGACCAATCAGCAGCCGAGAGCGTTGACGTCACAAACACAGCCCGGTTGTCTTTGGCCCTGGCCCCACGATTTTATGAGGCCAGAAAAACTGAGAATTAGGACCAGCCGGCCGGTACTAGGCCAAGTGGAAACGCAACCACAAACGGGCCGCTGACGTCACAGCCCTCTTAAACCGGGCTGCGCGCTGTAGTGGAAACGCGCCATAACATGCACAAAAAACTATATAACACTACAGGGAAGGGGAACCCCCCCCCCAAAAAAACATTAGGGCCTCTTTAAACCTACACTTCCCAAAGTAATATCCACACAGTAATCCTTACCTGCTTTTCCGCCAGTGAATTTGCCCAGGTGAAGCTCATAACCGTCAACCTCAGAATCGATGGAGAAGGAGGAGTACTTGGCGTACCTCTTCCCCCGTTCAAAGTCCTCCATGTCGATCCGCAGCTCGTTCTCCTTCCTCAGAGTCAGCAGGAAGATGTTTTCCAGGCCTTAGAAAAGGAAAAAAAAATCTTATGTTTTCCCATGCTCCTTAGGGACCTGGGGAACATGATGCGCGGTAGGCTCCATATAGAGTCTCCGCACTGTTTTTTCATGCACACTCTACACAAGGTAAGCGTGTGTGAGTGTGCCTTATCCAAGCTGCGGCCCCAACTTCTCCACGGTTACAACCGAATGGGAGGAAGTGGGGATGCGGTGGATGTTAGCCAAAAGCCGGTCAGGGACAGTGTGATGGGTCAATGTTGTTGGACGACAGGGCGTTTATACATCGGGGCTCCACCCACTGTACCCATAGAGTCCAGTAGAGGGCGGAGCCTGTGTGAGATATAATGAGGGGTTACGTATTGTAACCCTGGTTATATATGCACAGGCGGAGCCCTCTACCTGGGGGCCCTGTCTGTCCTATGCCGCTCGCTGAAGAGGGTGTAGGATGGCGGTCGGAGGGCGTAGCCGCCTTATATACTGTGGGCCTGCGCACGCATTCAGGTAGGCTCGCCCCGATTGGCCGGCTACGTTTACGTAACTCAGTAGGTGAAAGCACGCACAGCATGATAGAGAGTAGTACCCATAGAGTCCAGTGAGTAGAGGGCTCCGCCTGTGCTTATATAACCAGGGTTACAATACGTAACCCCTCGTTTTCTTCTTCCTTAAGCTAAACATACAGTATCATATATTGAGCAAAGCCTGCAAGTTGAGGCAGTCACAGGGGCCAGTCAGTAACGCTGACCTGGGACCCCCCTGTTACCCCCTCCAAAATAAAAGTTTATAATATTACCATTTATTGGCTATAGCGCTGGCGTCAACGGAACTACTGTAACTCAGCATTCTAGTCGGACCCCTTAGAGCAGTACACCGCCACTGGCCATGCAGGATAAAAATCAACACTTGTCATCTCCGACCAGAGGCTGTTCCCTTTTTACTTCAAGTAAGATTCAAGCCTAGACATTGAGAGACTAAAAATCACAGAAACCGCAGGATATTGTTGCTGTAATGTGAAAGAAGAGAACACTTCACCTGGGATGCAGAGACCCGGATGTTAACAAACGGCAACCCGCCCCAGGCATTGTGTTTTTTATGTGGGGAGAAACTAGCCAACAGCTCGATGAAACCAGCGCACCTCCAGAGACATCTCAGCACCAAACACCTGTGTCATGTTGGTAAGCCACCGGAGTTTTTCAAGAGAAAACTTGCTGAGTACAGATCCTCGCAAGAGATGATGCGAAAAGCCTCCACAACATCAGCCAAAGCACTGGAGGCATCGTATGCGGTGTCACTGCTCATCACTAAAGCCAAAAAGCCGTACACGATCGCTGAGGACCTGTTACTCCTAAAGAGTGTCAGTGCAGTGTTATTACATAATTTGTTTATAATTGTTACAATGTTTTTATTTTTTTTTACCCTTTCATGCATTGTGGTCACTACATTAGAGACTGCTAATTTAATGCTGTTTTCTTGTATATGCATGGGGTTTCGGATGGTATAGTTGCACATCAGGCACCACTGTGGATTTTATTATAATATTTGTGTATTGTATTATGTAAGGGATAATACAATACACAAAAAAGAACACCCTTCAGGCTCATCAAGATCCCCTCGGGTGTTCTTTTCCCCATAATGACCAAGTCGCTGCACATTATCCCGCTTATTACAAGGCCACATTCTCAACAAAGTAACAATATGACTCCCAATATTAATTGACATGCTTTTATAGATTTAGAAAATGTTTTTATTGATTTAAAGCAGGGGTAGCCAACACGGTGCCCGCGGGCACTTGGTCGCCCGCAGAGGCAACGTGAGTCGCCCGCGGGGCATGTTCTAAAAATAGCTCGCCAAGCAAATCCAAAATGTATAAAATACACAAAACAAAAAAGGAAATGTAATTAAAAGAATCTACCCTATGCACCCTATACTTACTACAACTCTATATCTATCTAACACCCCTCCTCCCCCCACCCCCAAAATTAATATCTACCAATCACGTTCTTGCTTGATTTGCGGGACCAGCGAGCGTTGCAGTCTGGAAGAAAAGCAATGTGGCACCTCCCCGCTGATTTTCCTTCTGGCAGAATCTACACAACACATCAGCCCCATTGAACAGCCTATCATGCAGCCTATACAACACATGGGGGGCAGAGTTTTACTCTGTGTGTTGCAACTTGCATATCTTTATTGCACTTGACGCACACACACGCATGGCGTAATTTCCACCTGGGACAGGGGGGAAATGTCCCCCCCACTTTTCAAAATCCCGTTTGTGTCCACCCCCACTTTAAAAATATGTTTATTATTTTTTTTTAACGCAAGCCGTCGATCGCCACGGAGGAGCTCACAGCCTCTGTGAGCGAGCGAGACAGAGCGAGCGAGAGAGCTTGGGAGGGAGGGAGGGAAAGGGGGAGAGAGAGGGGGAGAGAGAGAGCGAGAGAGCTGGGGGGGGAGGGAGGGAGGGAGAGAGAGAGAGCCAGGGAGAGCATACCTTTATCTATTTAATATAGATAAAGTAAGAAATCATTCCAATGTGTACTATAGGACAGTAAAACAAATCAAAAAACAGTTTGAAAGGGGAGTGATTAGTAAAATAAGCATACATAAAAAGAAAAAATGCTAACTAGGTAACATAAGATAAGAATAAACCAGTTTAAATGATTTGTTATTGGTTGTGATCATATTCTAAAGATGTTTGGATTATTGAAAAGTATACAGCTCTCTTTCATCTGAGTGTTGAGAGCTGTATCCATCAATTCATGTTGTGCTCAAAGTGCTCCAGATTGATGCATTTCACTTCAACATTAAAAAAATAATCTTCCTGGGGGTGCATGCCCCCCGACCCCCCTAGAGGAGGTGAGGACCCCCCTGGAGGAGGTGAGGCCCGTCCACCCCCAAATAAAGCAGGTTAAAATAATTAGATTGCATACATGTTCTTTTAGTAAACACTGCAAACGGGTCCCACAGACCCAAACAGCAAACAAAGGTTAAAGGTCAGCATATCATAATGTTAAAATGTGCTAAATATATACACCGCAAAAAAAGAAAAGAAAAGTAAAAGTAGCCCCCGACTTGTTTTATTTTTTTAAAGTAGCCCTCACCCTAAAAAAGCTTGGTGACCCCTGATTTAAAGAAAAGTAGGCTATTATTGATTTAAAATGACATGCATCCGCTAAGAAAAATAGTCCGTTGTCACTGTTTGAACTACGTAGCAACGGCAGGAACTGCTTCGATAGCGTTTTTGCGGACCTTTTTGATTACAGATTTGAAAACATTGTTGCTTGCTTTAAAAGTAGCACAATTCATTATGTCAAACCTTGGAAAGTATCTAGATATCCCTAGCCTAATGCCAAAGTAACGTCGCAACTGAATATGTTTTGCCGTTTGATGTCTATGTCAGGACCGTTGCGTAAAAAGGAGGGTTTCTGCCCGTTACTTCTCCGCTGTTTTCTTGTCCCAGTTTGCTTTTCGGCCAAACTGTATACAGTTAAATCGACCGGACTTCTTTCTGCAGATGTGACGTGAGCTTCCTTAACAACGGTCAATAAATCCTTGACAGCGGTCTGTACTACTGGATTAACAACGTGTCACGTGTTCTGAATTGACCAATCAGAATCGAGTATTCAACTAAGCCATGTAATAAACATAGATAGTTTTTGCATAATATATCATTTTGTTCATGGGTTTATTATTACGTAAAAATCTGTTTTAAAAAAAATTCTCATGCATAAAGATGAAAATATTGTTAGTTTGTTGTAATTCGTTCATGAAGGAGTTAATAAATCACACACTGATGGAACATGACTATATTGTAATTATTTATTTTGGCTTCTTTCTATCAAATATGTCCGGGGTCGGTCAGGGGTATACATTACTGAAAAAAGTTTGAGAAGCACTGCTGTGAAGGACAACAAAATAACAACTGAAACAAAGAACTGTAACTTACAGTTACTGAAATGAATAACTGTACAGAAGCACAAAGCAATTACTGTATTTTATGTTTATTTTACGCAATTACTATATAGCGTCTTTGTCTTTTTTCACCCGTTTTTATTGTATAATATAAATACAAAAATAACTGGCCCCAGCCTGGTCCCCCCCCAGTAAAATTGGTCTAGAACCGTCACTGGGCAGTCACACCAGCATTCACCAGTAGGCACCAATCATTTAAATGTTCCTTCATCTGCCAGCATATTAAGATGAAAAATGTGTTGAATTTATTAGTTGAACACTCACCGAGCCAATATTCTCCTGCCATGTTCCCAAATCCGAATTTATAGTTACTCCAGGGCCTGTAGAAGTTTATAGTCCCATCCATCCTCTTGAGAAATACCTGAGAGGAAGAGTAGGAAGAAGAGTGTTACAGGATAATAGGATACCAACATGTTCTACTACAATAACTACATCTGGACAACTTTACAAAGTATCTTGACCAGTAAACAGGACTGTTGGTGGAAATGGAAAAGAAAAATCAAGACAAATTATTTGTTGTATTCCTGGAGGCAACAGAAAAAGCTGAAGCAGTTAAGACAAGTCATGAGTTCTCAAAGCAGGTTTACAAGGTCTAAGAAAAGCACACAGTCTGATAAAATCTGATATACTGACCGTCCATCTGCCCCCGTCAGTGTTCATGTCACAGAAGACTTGCAGGGGAGTGTCGGGACCCCCGGGGAAGATGGTGTACACCCCACTGGAGCTGGTGTTGTCATTGCAATAGATGTCATTGCAGTCGAAAGGCAGAAAGTCCTTCGAGCCAGTGGCAGCTGAGGCTAAAAACCCAAGAAGAGCCACAAATAATGTCACCTGGATGAAAAAGAGAAGAGATTTTAAATACCTACAGCACCTTTTGAAGTGATTTCCTGCACAGTTTTTTTAATGGTAATAAATTAGTTTATTCATGATTATTAATTTGCCCAGAGTAGATCAGTTTGAGACCGCTCCAAGTATTGATGCTAGTATTGATTATCAAGAGAGGACAGAGACATTTAAAATAGTGTTTTCTTACCTGCATCATCTTCATCGTGGAGAGGAAGGTCTACGCTGAGTTCACTCTGTTGTTTGAGGTGACTCTTGTTTGGAACGTAGGCATTTATACAGACGGTGCATCACGTGTTTTTGGAAGTGCATGACAAGTTGTGTTATTTTAAGGTTTATGAATGGTTGGTTGTATTAGATAGGCACATATATGAACACGGAAGAAAAGGAAAGGCAAAAATGTAACCAGCATTCATTACTGGAATAGGTTGACGAACCTGATCAACTGGATGTGACAGAAGGTACTGGAATGGAGGAAGTCTTGTGACACTGGAGCAGGAGCCATTTTCGACAAAAAACTGATTTGCCCACCTTCTAACAGTGCCACAGATTCTCGATGGGATGATATCTGGTCTCTGAGCCACTTTAGGACATTAACCTTAATGTTGTTTAACCACTACTGTGTTGCCTCGGCCTTGTGCTTAGGATCATTGTTCTGCTAAAAGGTGAAGAAGAAGGTTCTCCCTGTATTGTGCTGTATCCATTCTTCTGAGATACTCAGTCCCTGCTGACGAAAAGCATGCCAACAGCATGATAGTGATAACGCCAAGTATTATGCAGAGCTCTCTAAATGGTTTGCTGGTACACCTTCACTCCACGTTTAGCCACTGAACTCTGTAGCTCCTTGATTGTGATTGTTGGCTTCTGGTCTCAGTATTGCTTGTGTAGAATAATGCAGCTTCCACCTCTTTATATACTCAGTCTGAGCTATGATACTCAAACTATTGGAGGGTTTTACCCAGAAAATGAGAGCTATTCTAATGTTTCACAGGTGGGGCCAATTGTAGAGCCTACAGCGTCTTTGTTTGAGGAATAGTTTTCATTTGTGTCAACTTGTAGCTTCCAAAGCACTGGGGTTTTCTGTATACAAAACTAATTTCACATTGAAGGTCAGTCTTCTAAAATGAAATATCAGAACAAAATCCTAACGTTTTGATCCTTTGTAATCCAAACAAATCAGATAAGTTTCAAGTGGGTGAACACTGTTGCAAGTCAGTTTATGGACTAAAACTAATTACACAAACAAGGAATCTCTATCTGTGGACCCAAGGACCAAAAGCTGCAAGTTTAATATTAATACAGTTTAAATAAACAATGAAATAACAATGGGAACTATCTGAGACGCTACTGTGAACAGACAAGGCCACACAGACTGAAGGAACAAAAGAGAAAGATTGAACAGGGACAGGTGAATCTGATCAGGACAGGTTATCGCAAAGCCGGGAAACACACCAGGTAATAAAATGAATAGATTGAACAAGGGCCCAGAATGTGACAAAAAAGCATTCAGTATTCTTTATTTGGAAGAAGTTGAATAAAACATTTTAAAAACAGCTTAAAATTCAATACAAATAAATAAAATATTGGGGAGTTTCACTCAGGATGTGACCTATAGAGATCATGTATTTTCCAGTTATTGTAATAACTGATTATATATTTAAAATTTAAAATAAACTTAATTTCAACCAACACACCACCAACATCTTCAAAAGGAGCCAACAAAGATTATCCGTCGTCCATGAACTCGAAGAACTGTACGTTTCCCCCCCTCTTCTCCCTCTACTATACCAAAGCATTATCAATATGCTCACTGTCACCAACCAGACCAAACTCACACGCATCACCAACACTGCTGCCAGCGTGATTGGACTATGGAGCTAATTTCCTGCCATAACTCCACAAACAAACTAAACAGGTTTTACAAATGCCTTATGATTCACTAACAAACACAATGTGGTTTGCAAATACAAAACACCATCTACAAACTAATGAATTTAGTTTTGCAAAGAAAAAACGTATCTATCAAACAAACACATAACATTATTCTAATAAATCATGTTTCAGAGACAAATTCAGCTTAGGTTTTACAAGTACACAACTTTTTTTTACAAGTGCACAAATTTGTTTTACAACTACAACACTTTGTTTTACAACTACAAAACTTTTTTTTACAAGTACACAAATTTGTTTTACAACTACAACACTTTGTTTTACAACTACAAAACTTTTTTTTACAAGTACAAAACTTTTTCTTCTCACGGCGGAATATTACTGCCAAAAGTCACGTGACTGAGACTTTTGGCAGTAATATTCCGCCGTGGCTGGCTCATACACAGTCACACATGCTCACTCACACATGCTACACGGCAGCAGGGGGCACTACTGAGTCCATTGGGAAGACGGGAGGTTGAGCAGAGCATGGAACAGCTCTTGCCAGCCTGATGACAGGTGTTATAGTGATAATATTATAAACAAGGTGAATTTAGCGATCACAACGAAAACAGCCAAGACACATATTGAGCCCAGAAAATAAATGTTATTAGGGGCTGTAAATATAATAAGCCTTTGTCTAAAATGGACAACATTGTAACTAAAGAGATTTAAACTATATATACAGCCAGGGGACGTTCGGGACGAATCCCGATGGGCCGGTACTGAAGTGGGCCGGTCGGATAAGTCACTGCTCACCCCCCCTTCCCCCCCGTCGACAATTTCCTCGCGGTATTTACTTGCGGCACCACCGAGGTGGGCCGCTTACTTGCGGTACCGAGGTGGGCCGGCGGTACCGAAGTGGGCCGGTCGAGAGTCCCGGGCTGATTTGTTGTCCCAGTCCGCCCCTGTATACAGCGATTCTGCACTCGGTCAATCAGCTGCTTTTCATTTTTATTCCTGCTATATTCAATGAGTGATACAAATATTTTTTACCACAAGTTCTTAATAAAACTGACACTGTTGGACTTGGTACTAGTTGACTGCAACCAGAAATAAAATGAAGTACTTTACTGTGTACTTTGTGAGTAATCCTCTGTCAGAGTCCCCTCCATAGTACATAATGCATGTTTTTTGCTATCTTTGATGAATGATAAAAATAAAATGTTACCATTAGTTCTTAATGAAATTGATACGGTTTGACTTTGTATTAGTAAGCCTACACTGTAAAAAAAGTCCGTGAAATTAACAGGGAAAAGCTGTAAAATCACAACATCAAAAAACTGTAAATAGAGAAACAATGAAGCAGTGTTTAATTTACAGTAATATTTCGTAAAGTACTGAACCAAACAAAACTGTTAAATTCACATTAAGAATATGTTAAAATAATTATATTTCATTGTATAATTTACAGATTACTGTGGTTTGAACACAGAAAAACTGTAATACATAAAACAATACAATACAGTTAAAATTACAACATGACAGTGTTAAAATCATGTTTTTTTATATTTTTTCATTCTTGAATATACTATAATATACTTACTTCTTATTTCTATTTGTTTAATACATATATTTATTTTTGAAATTGGAAATAACCCAGTACTGAGATATTCTTGGAAATTAAATGAGAATCCATAAAACAGCTGGCGTTTGGATTCTGCGGCCGACCGGCTATTTGGAGTGGAATGCAGCCCACGGCAGACAGCCCAAACAGTAATCGAACGCCTCCGAAGGAAACGGCCGCTGAACTGAGACACGCCTACTGAGCAGTATAGTTTGTTTCTGTTATTTCATTGGACTATTTAATTATCGCGGGAGCTGCCACTTTTTGCAGGTTAACGGTTGCGGCTCAGTGCGCGCCAAGTCTGTCTCTCAAGTCTGCCTTCCACGGAGCTGTATGTACATGAGCGGAGGATCACATCTGTAGCACTGGTAAGCTAACCTTTTATTTTCTTCAAACTTCAATTATAACACTGTGTGTTGTCAGGACAAAACTAACTTCTGTTTGTGATTGAGTGCATTTTGCAGCAAAACGTTGAGGGTTTATGTTCTGCATTGCATAAGTGTTTTTTCAAATGTGTTGGCGCGAACTGCAAGCAAACAGGTGTGTTGTCAGGACAATGCTAGCTTCTGTTTGTGATTGAGTGCATTTTGCAGTCATAGTTATAACTTCTACTGACCGGGAGTTAATTTTAAATAGTCTGGTAACGTTATTGAAGTATCATGCTAAAAGCTGAACTCTTTATTTTCGTTTAATTCATGCTGTTGTGAAGCGGGGGGTTTGAAGCTACATCTGAGGGGGTTCAAATTTAACGGGCAGTCATGTTAGCACTAAAAATGATTACCTGCCGTTTTTGCAGGTTAACGGTTACGGCTCAGGGCGCGGCCAAGTCTGTCTCAAGTCTGCCTGCCACGGAGCTGTGTGCACATGAGCGCAGGATCACATCTGTAGCACTGGTAAGCTAACCGTTTATTTTCTTCAAACTTCAATTATAACACGGTGTGTTGTCAGGACAATACTAACTTCTGTTTGTGATTGAGTGCATTTTGCAGCAAAACGTTTATGTTCTGCATTGCATAAGTGTTTTTTCAAATGTGTTGGCGCGAACTGCAAGCAAACAACGGTGTGTTGTCAGGACAATACTAGCTTCTGTTTGTGATTGAGTGCATTTTGCAGTCATAGTTATAACGTCTACTGACCGGGAGTTAATTTAAATAGTCTGGTAACGTTATTGAAGTATCATGCTAAAAGCTGAACTCTTTATTTTCGTTTAATTCATGCTGTTGTGAAGTGGGGGGTTTGAAGCTACATCTGAGGGGGTTCAAAGTTAACTGGCAGTCTACTTTTTTCTGTTCTTTCTGCCACTTCTTTCTCTCTTTTCTGTCTAATTTGAGACGTTTATGTTGCACAATCTTTTTTGTTACTGTAAGCTCGTAAAGGGCTAGTTTGGATGCTTATGGATACTTATCCATAGTCAGTGTATTACTTGCATGTCTTTGGAGGAACAGGCAGGAGTACGGGTACGTATGTAAAGCTGTGGATGGGTGCAGCAGCGAAACGTATTTTAGCCACCTAAAAATTCAGTTTACGTGTACGCTATATTTATAATATTGTCACAAATGTACCCTGCTGCTTCAGTCCCTATCAGAAACAGACTGTATAGCTGTCTGACAGAAAGGTAGAGCTTTGAAAATATTCTTTAATATAGCATACACTAAGAGTAATATTGTTTTAGTTTTTTTGGTGGCTTAACTATGTCCACAGCAGTGCATTGCTTAGCTGTCTGCTGGTTCTCCTCTCTGTTTCTCCAAACTGTAGCTCCTACAACCCCCCTTCAAACAATATGAACTATCCCCTAAAAGCAAGTCAAATTGACATTACATTTATCTCCCCTTAACCTGCAAATACACATACATACATTTTTGTATTGATGGTGAGCAATTTAACAGACCTTAAAATGTGTGCTAAAATTGTTTTGTGAAATATTTCAGGAAGACAAGTCTTGTTTTAATTTAGTTTGAATTGTGTTTTTCTTCTTTTTTAGGACGATCATGCTATTCTTCAAGGCGATTCATGCTGAGTGTGGATCGAAACATAGTACAGGACAACATCCCCTCCTTGGTTTCTGCCCTGTCCATGATGTTTGGGAGCTATTATTGCTTCAACATCGCCTACCCGTCAGAGCTGGCATCCACCCTGGAGTTTGTCCAGAGGTATGTGTTTTTTGGGATTGGCTTTATCCAACAATTTATTTTATTAAACTGCAACAAATCTAAAGCAGCTGCTTCAGTGAATTGGGGGCTAAGATAATTGTCATTTTGGCTTCAAAATAATAAGATTGATGTGAAGTTTCTTTGTTGTTAGGCAAGCTATTTTATTATTAATTCTGTTGTTTGTTTGTATTTTTATTTTAAGGTGTTTTTTCTCCATCAACCCAGAGAAGGGCACCAAAGTGGAGAAGACACGTGCATCCCGTCTTCAGGTGAACCCGAGAGTCCTCACCTTGATACAGGAACTTTCGGACCATGAGTGGCGTGATGTCTGAATATGGACAGTAAGATCAATGGCATGTAGCGATGTGCCCAAGTTACAGTTTGTTTGATTGTTTAAATCGTAGTTAAAATTTGAAGTGCCTTTTTTTTCCCATGTTCTTTTAACTAATTTAAAAAAATGCAATATGTAACTCTCAAAATGTCAAACTATTCTTTTAAGGTCATTGTAAAAGCTCAGGACATCACTGTTGAGTGTAAAAATGTTGATGTGTTACACTCCACTGGGTGGTTTTGTTTTGTTTTCCACTTGGGTTTTTGCTTCTGAAGTGAAGGGTCTCTGCTGACCCTACCTCTTCACCTATCTCACTTAGACACACACACATGTGTTTTGCAACTGTAGCTTCATCACGTACACACTTCCTTTAGCAATGAACATGTATTCAACTAAGACAATCCCTTATTTTGGCTAAGTTACAGCTCAGTCTGTGGCTGTGACAGTCGAGTATTATATTATACAGGTGCCCACTATAAGAGATGAGACATATAAAGTACTAAAATATTTAAAAACATTATTTCCCATAAATCATTTGATGTGATGCAAGTAACCTCTCAACTTTGTTCAGCTTGAATTTCCTGGACAATGTGAGCTGTTTGTTTATTGTGCAGCCTTAGTTTGTATGTTTTACCAATATGTATGTTGAGAAATGACAGATGTTTTTGATCACTGCTATTATATATATATATAATAAATTCTTGGAAAGGCAAGTTCTTGTTGGAATTTTTTCAACTTTTAATACAGTGGCTCTTGAGGTTTATCTAGCTTTGCATTTTAAATTTTAAGTGCTTAATCTGTGTACCCTGGATTACATTCTTCACATTTCTGGTAATAGTCAAACATATATATACGAAGGCAGTGTAGTTTAAATGAAATCTTTCAATCTGACTAATGTATAGGAAAAACATTTTTATATATCAATAATCCTTACAGGCGGTTTTATACTATATATATATATATATATATATATATATATATTTGAGATTGCTATTCATAGAACAGTTTTTTCTGCATTTTAATTGTAATAAATACATTTTACAGAAAATTTAAATTGCAGTATTTAGATGTTGCTTTCACTGTAAAACTCGTCATTACTACGGCAAAATACACTAAATTATACACAACTTTTGATTACAATTTGCGGGAAAATTCAGTTAAATTACAGCATTACACTGATGCTTTTACAGTTAAACAGTGTTATTTGTTTGGTATTTTTCTGTAAAATTGAATGGGATTCAATGTACAATAGACAGCAACTGCATGTAAATCTTACTGAAATAATCAGTTTAATAGCAACGTGATCATGCTAATTCAGCAGAAAAGGGCTGTTGAAATGACAGATTTAAAATGTAAATTACAACAGTTTTAAACTGTAAAATATACACGTTGTTCTGTAAAGTTGTTTACAGTTTACCGTATTTTTTACATCATTATTCTGGCAACAAAGCTGCCAGGTTTTTACCGTAAAAACAACGGGTTTTTTTTTACAGTGTACTACTAACAATACATTGAAGTACTTTTACTGTGTATTTTTTGAGAAATACTCTGTCAAAGTCCCCTCCTGTGAACAAAATCAAGCCACTTCTGCTAAGTTTGATGAGGGAATTCTTTTTTGTTGCCATTAGTTCTTCGTGAGATTGATCCTGTTGGACTCAGTACTACTGAAACTACCCCCACAAGTACTATGAAGTACTTATTGTGTACTTTTCCAGTAATCCTCTGTCAATGTCCCCTCCTGAGTACAAGAATGCATGTTTTTCTTTTAATAAGCGTTAAAAAACATTTCTTCCTGAGACTGATATTGTTGGACAGAGTATTTTAAGAGGATGGTAGACATGATATCAGCAATACTTCCAGTCAGTACTCCGGCAGCAGCATTTTCACACCTTGGAAAGTCTTTAGAGTCTGGCCTGGAATGGATAGCTGGTCACAAATATCCTTCAGCAAAGTAACACACTCTGTCACATGGTTGCCCTCTTATGATGCTGCTGTCTTTTAATATATAATTATTCCTCTGCCGCTAGTTCGTTCCTCGCAGATTCTTCAGTCTCATCAGCCTCATCCTTCCATCAGTCCCAGTTAACGCCTCCAGCCCACTTCCAGTATCTGACTCCATATGATATTGTCCTGATGCTGTAAGGGTGATGCCCCATGATCACAAAATGACCCCTCTAGAGTGCCAAGGACCTCATATTATGTCTGTCATTAATGTTACATCACCCATTAAATCACCCAAAAAATATTTTTTTCCCTCATCAAACTTAGAAGAAGTGGCTTGATTTTGTTCTCAGGAGGGGACTTTGACAGAGTATTTCTCAAAAAAATACACAGTAAAAGTACTTCAATGTATTGTTAGTAGTAGGCTTACTAATACAAAGTCAAACCGTATCAATTTCATTAAGAACTAATGGTAACATTTTATTTTTGGGTCATTCCAGAATTGGAGGACATTTCATGTCCCCCATATAAAAATCTAATAATCCATGCCCAAAAAGCTAAGACATGCACTTGTTGTGTTAAATATACTTGTCTTGAGACAAGATGCATATAAAGTTGTAGAAAAAGTGGTTTAAAAATATTATTTAAAATATCAAATAGCTCTCGAACACCCCCTAAAATTGCCCTTTTCTCTTGTCCCAGCTTCTTGGTGACCAACTTGCATGTCAACTATAACATTTAAAATAGGGTTTTTATTTACTTTTTTGGTATTATTCTATTGATATATGTGTCTTGTAATGGTAAAATCAATTTGTTAAATCATAAACACATTTTAAATAACAGTAATTTTGCACAGAAGGTGTGTCCCTCAACATGCGCGCAACCCTGTTACCGAAACCTTTTTTAGCTTGGCAGAGGAAGTGAAAAAACTGTTTGTCGCATGACACAGTGGAAAGGACATCAGCAAGCCATGTGCTACTACCATGGGTAGACCAAAACTAAGTCCTCTCTTTTATTTGTAATATATTTCCAATCTTGTCACTCTTGAAGGAGTGTGGCACTCATACAAACGCAACCCTGTTACTCAAATTATGAGACAAAAACAAATTAATTTCAAATGTATCTTTCTTTGTTAAATATATATAAATATAAATATAATATAAAGTGTGTCCATTCCTTGACAATAGCATTACATTGTGCAGCTAGCATTAATTCCTGAGGTAAAAGCTAAAATTAGCATTGATTTTCAACCCTGTTACTTGCAACCCTGTTACTATAATTAGAGTAACAGGGTTAATTCTTCATTGGAAAATATACATTTGATGCCTTAGCTGGGCAAATCACTTTTTTTTATGGTTTATTATCTGTTTTTCCTAAATACATAACAAAAAATAATCAAATGAAAGGTTTATTTTTCAAAAATGTTGGTGTCTAAATTGTCCTCCAATTCTGGAATGACCCTTTTATCATTCATCAAAGATAGCAAAAAACATGCATTATGTACTATGGAGGGGACTCTGACAGAGGATTACTCACAAAGTACACAGTAAAGTACTTCCTTTTATTTCTGGTAGCAGTCAACTAGTACCGAGTCCAACAGTATCAGTTTTATTCAGAACGTATGGTAAAAAATATTTGTATCACTCATTGAATATAGCAGGAAAGAAAATGAAGAGCAGCTGATTGACCGAGTGCAGAATCGCTGTATAGTTTAAATCTCCTTAGTTACAATGTTGTCTATTTTAGACAAAGGCTTATTATATTTACAGCCCTAAGAACATTCATTTTCTGGGCTCAATATGTGTCTTGGCTGTTTTCGTTGTGATCGCTAAATTCAGATGCTGGATCGCTAGAAACACCGCTGTCATGATCAGGCTGGCAAGAGCTGTTCCATGCTCTGCTCAACCTCCCGCCTTCCCAATGGACTCAGTAGTGCCCCCTGCTGCCGTGGAGCATGTGTGAGTGAGCATGTGTGAGTGTGTATGAGCACAACCACGGCGGAATATTACTGCCAAAAGTCACGTGACTCAGTCACGTGACTTTTGGCAGTAATATTCCAGTCACGTGACTTTTGGCAGTAATATTCCGCCGTGAGAAGAAAAAGTTTTGTACTTGTAAAAAAAAGTTTTGTAGTTGTAAAACAAAGTGTTGTAGTTGTAAAACAAATTTGTGTACTTGTAAAAAAAAGTTTTGTAGTTGTAAAACAAAGTGTTGTAGTTGTAAAACAAATGTGTGCACTTGTAAAAAAAAGTTGTGTACTTGTAAAACCTAAGCTGAATTTGTCTCTGAAACATGATTTATTAGAAAAATGTTATGTGTTTGTTTGATAGATAAGTTTTTTCTTTGCAAAACTAAATTCATTAGTTTGTAGATGGTGTTTTGTATTTGCAAACCACATTGTGTTTGTTAGTGAATCATAAGGCATTTGTAAAACCTGTTTAGTTTGTTTGTGGAGTTATGGCAGGAAATTAGCTCCATATTGGACTCCCTACACCCAACCTCACAGTGCTTAACAACAGGGCCATCTCACGCATAGCAACCACAACAGAACTGGACATCACACACCCACTCAATCAGTTCCTCGCCCCACTGCCACCCAGGCGTAGGTACAGAGCACTGAGATGCAAACGTTTTGGAAACGCATTGCTGCCTTAAAGGTCTCCTATCATGCAAAATGCACTTTTTTACGTCTTTCATACAAGTGTCCCCGGTGTTTCAGGGAACTCACAAAGTGTCAGAAAACAAAACCCTCTCTCTTTTCCTCCGTACCCAAATCTCTAAAAACGGGGGTACAACGGAGCTGATCCAGATTTGCGTCCGATATGACGTTATATCGGAAATGTGGATCAGAAACGTTGCTATCAGAAACAATGCGTGACGTGTTTTGGACGTAATATGGTCTTTGTTTACATTAGCATCGCTAACACTCAGAGCTAACCTGTACCGGAGAGAGTATGTGTAAAAAAGCAGGAAATAATAAAAGGAACTCACCTTGTGGTAAACCTGCAAGAGAAAAGGCATTTCAGCTCCATACTGTTTCAGAAATAATCCTTGAAGTGGTTTTGAACATCATATGGCGTTTCATCACGGCAGCATTTAGCTGGGTATCTGCCGGTCGAATTCTGAGCAGGCATTAGCTCCCCCCCTCTTTTTTTTGTAATCTTCTTTTTTAAGCTAAGGACCCAGAATCAGCAGTTCTCTAACAGCGCTGAAACAGAGGGATATGAAGGATGTCTAAAATGCATCATCAGTTTGGTATTTTGAGCAAAACACATCATAGACATGTTTTTTATATATTTGTATATATCTGAGACCCATAATATATGCCTAAAAATAGCATGATACAGTAGATCTTTAAATAACAGGCCTCACTGAGTTTAACTGCCATCTGTGTCGCTATCTCTTGTTGTCCGTGTTATTGTTGTTGTTTACATATTGTATGTATATTGTGTACATGTACAGTGCTGTGAGAATGAATTTCCCCCTTGGACAATCAATCTAATCGAAAATCGAAAGCAAAACAAGGACAAATATCCACAAGCATCCGTCCAAATACCGCACAGTCTTTAAACAATCATATTAACAAACAGCAGGAATAATTTACAACTATAAAGTGCAAAACTGGCAAATGTACTTTAAAGGGGACCTATCATGCAAAATGCACTTTTGTACGTCTTTTATACATGAATATGTGTCTCCGGTGTTCCAGGGAACTCACCAAGTGTCAGAAAACACAACCCTCTCTATTTTCCTCCATACCCAAATCTCTAAAAACGGGGCTGCAACGGATCTGATAAAAACTGATCCAGATTTGAACACTGTCCTGACGTCAGGACGGTGGCGCTGCGGTTATTGGGCCAACTCTCCACCTATCAGGGGAATGTGGGGTTGGGCCACGGCCGGCCATTGCCGCTCGAAAGCGCTGGAGACGCTGTAGTACATATGCCAGGCCTGTAAGTGGCGCTGTAGTCTGCCACAAAAGCAGCGAAGAAGACTTTC